CCCCAAAACCCCAAAACCCCAAAACCCCAAAACCCCAAAATTTATTCTAAATATTGAACTGATTTATACCAGAGTTAAGCATGAGCTCACGCTGAAGATCTCTTTGATCAATTGCAGTTGTTCTTCAGTGAATCTTTCTGGCTGATACGCCACTGTCTGCTGGTGAATAGATTTAAATCCTAAAGAGTTAAGGCAAGGCATTTACTCGAAATAAAATCAAGGATATCTGTCTTGAGTTCAGAACCTAGAGTGATGATTGCACAGGCTTACTTGAGCATCTTGATAGCTTGGATAAGTACAGAATTGATACTAAAAAGTCATCCAGAGAAATCTATATATTAGAATGAGATGTTACCTCTTCCCTAGAGAATGGGATCTTATAGCCGAAGGAATACATCGCTGATAGGGTGATATGTGGATTCTCAGCGGGATCCATTGATCTTTCTTCTGATTTATCAGCTGAAATTCCTGCTTTCTTATTAAGTAGCTTCATTATGAATTCTCCTGAGATTCCTTGATTGAGTCTTAAAGCTGTCATTAAGCATTTCTTTGCCATTCTGACAACATAGATACTTTCATCCTGGAAATATGGAATTATGTCTTCGATACTGATAAGACTATGGAGACCTTGCTTAAGTAAGTTAGAGTTGACTCCTTCAAGAAGGTATAGAATATTCTCTCTAATCCTCCAATTTGTGCTTGTAGAATATTGATATAAGAACTCTTTGATTTCAGGAAGGCTGTCTTGGCTTACTAAATTTGTTAGTTATGTATAAACTTACCAACTAATTTGTTCAGAGCATCACCAACCAAAGCTGTGCTTTGGTTGAGTGTATCCTTCTGCACAGATTTTTCAATACAGAGGAAAGATAATTTCAGGATTTGAGTGATGAATTCAAGTGGGAGAGAATCTAAGGAGTAATCTTTGACAAGTGCTCTAAAAATTTCAATGATATTAACAATGCAATTGTTAAGTAAGAATATGTTCTCTTCTACATTCTCAATCTCTTGGACGGAATCTAAGGCAAGATGCAAGAACTCTTGGATTTTTCCAACAGCTTCATCTTGGGCTTTACCACCAAGGTGCTTCTGAATATTGGCGATATATCTTCCAAATAGTTTTGAAGTTATCTTCCAATTTTTGTGATTGATGAGGGCAAGAGTTGGTTTAACTTTTTGACCTTCTTGAGGGATGGATGATAAACCATCTTTATCTAGGATTTTCTGAATCAGCTGTGAAGCATATGGAATACCTCTCCATTTAAAAGCAAGGCATAGATGTGAGGTGAAAGCTATTGCATTCCTTGCCTTGATTGATGAGGAATGATTGAAGCTTTCAATCATTGGATTGATAAAGCTCTCAAATCTTCTGGGATCTCTTTCGTTTAGAGCAATTTGAAGAAATTGAGGGAAGTAATTAGTATTGTCTAGCTGTTCACAATCATTAAATAATTGAGCAACTAAGTCCAAAGCTGTAAGATAGGTTTCTTCATTTCCAGTATAGTAGTATTTACAAGTGAGAATTACTGCAGAGAGGATATCGACGAGGAATGATTTAGTAACATGAGGATGCTCTATTGTTTTAAACCCTTTCTCAAAGAATTCTTGGATGACTGGTAAAATATTTCTTGTGTAAACTTCAAGGCCATAATACTTAATCATTTGGTAGAATACATTGTAGTATTTCGCTCCACCCATGGAGGCATGAGCATCTTGGATTTGTCTTCCAATATTTTTTCTGTTGTTTTGATCCACTCCTGCGTCATCAGTGCTGGTGTCGCGGGATTTTTGGATGAGGGCAGCAATCATTCTTTGAATTTTCTTATTTCTGTTATTTTCACTCATTTCATCATTAGTAATTTTGATGTCTTCTTTAGAATTTAGCTCTAACAAGATTTGATCGAATAAGGTTTTCATAAAAGTATTTCCAGCCTCCAATAGCTTTGCATGCAGAGCATCAGAATTTTGGTTATCTTCAGAATTTTTCAAGAATGGTGTATCTCCATTATAACTAGTGTAGGTACTGACGGATGAGTGATAACCGAGCTGGGTGTCATCATAGTATTTGTCTTGTTCGAAGTTTAGATATCTATTGAAATTCTCTATATGATCAGTATGCATGGACTCTGTAGTATTCTCAACCTTCTCAAAGTCATTCAATTTTATTTTGTATTCGACAATCTTTCTGCTAAGTGTTAGAGCTTTGTTGCGGACTTGAGGGGCAAATAAGAACATTCTTTCAACCAGGTAGTTCTGGATAAGAGATAGGTACTCATAATCTTGATAGAAATAACACAGCCAGATATCTATTGAACCTAAAATTCTGGTATCTTCTTGCACCAGATTTCCCATCTCTGGCTTCTCGGTGAATGTCAAAATGTTTTTAATTATTCCTTGGGCAATAGTATGCTGATCTTGGAGGTGATCAAAGTACTCTTTTCTTCAACTTTGGATTTCAGCAGCAAGTTCGGTCTTTAATTTAGCCATTTTTGCAAACACAGAGGAAACATGATAAAAATCTTCATTGTCTGTTGTAAGTTTCGGATCAAATGTATACCATCTATCTGCTACATTAATAGTTCTGAAGGAGACATTCCAGATATGAGCTCCGATATTCTTATCCTCTATGCTACTTCCAGTGTAGATCAGAAGAAGTATTCTAAGAATTTGTTCTTTTCTCTTTAGCACATCTTTGTTTCATAGTTTATCAAATAAAATAAGGAGGCCTATCAAATGATCTCTAGTAACAACTGTTTTTTCTGTTTGATTTTTGACCTCATCTATGAGTTTGAGCACTTCTTTGTATAAATCATCAAGGATGAAGATATGCTTATTTTCAAATTCAGAGAAATATTGGATAAACTTTGGGTCTTTCAAAGTCTTCACTTCCTTCTGTATACTAGGGATCAAGGAGTAATATCTTTCAAACTGGTATAGTCTTTCTAGAGATTTCTTGAATATGGTAGAGTTCTCATCGTAGCCACTCTTAGCTTGGTTCAACAAGAGCTTGAGAAGGTTTCCAACCTCGAGCACATAAGTCGACTCTAATCTTTTATTTTCAGGATACTCTATTTCCGAAAATAATGCTTTATTTTCTTTGAATGTGATTTCTTTGATAGGCGCTTTCCCTCTTGTGACTATGAGCTTATAGACTTCCCCGATATTGTTGATGATCTCAGAGTCTCTTTGTATACCTTCACTAGTCTCTACTTTCTGAGTCAGTGACTCACATACTCAAAAGATAGTCTCTTCATGGTAGGAAAGAAGGTCTAAAACTTCTTGACTAAGATTTATGTGCGAATAGTAGTATGATACAAAATCCTTGCTTGCCTCATAACTTCTTGGTGGAAGAAGTGCTTGTAGATTGACGCTAATAGATTTTAATATTCCAGATAGTATCTTTAATTGATGCTTCTCTACATTCTCTTCTAGTTTTACTTGTAGCCATGGGAGGATTTGCTTCTCAAGTGCATTGCTGAAAAATGCAATTGAGTCTTGATCAACTGAAATTATTTCAAAATTAAGCTTGTCGCAAGTGAGCTTTCCTGCATTTTCCCACAAGTGCTTCATGTATTCTTCTGATGCGAGTTGTTCATCAGAAAGAATACCCTTGTAAACTATTGAGAAGAATGCGAATGGGGCAGTAAAATGCTTAGCAAGGTTTACAAGATGACGAATCTCCCGCTCCTGGCTTGCTTCACTGTATAAAGTCTTCATTAACTCAAATATTTTATCAAAATGCTTCGAAGCTGCTGCCCTATTTTGGTATACAAGCACGTTGAGGATGACCAAGTTAAATTGGGTGATGGAATAGTTGTGATAAGTAAGTTCATACTGATCACCTTCTTTGGATAATAGCTTATTGAGGTAATGCTCCACCAACTCTCAAGATAGTCCATCATCTCTAACAGCAATATTACCTATAGATTTACTTAAAACTTCTGAAGCGTTATCAACATCAGCTGTTTCGACCAAATCTTTGATTAGAGGGGTGTAGACATCTTTTCTCATTGCATTGAGAAGATTCCAGAATGCTCTAATTGTCTCGTTCTTAATAGGAGCACCTGAGTTCATAATTTTCTTAAGTAATCCGAAGTATTCAGTGGCATAATCTTCAACTTTTTCATAGAACTTATAAAACTGATATTCTTGGATCCTCTTTTTCTTCATGGCTCTGAGGTACTTTGTGTAATCTTTGTTTTTGGAGAATTTTTCAACAAATTCTTTACCCCATGTTGAAGACAAGACTGGGAAGACAGCCCAGATAGAATCAAAGATTTGAAGAATAGTCTTCAACTTTTTAGTGTCCATCTCTTGAGCCTGCTCCAGGAGATATTCAATTGAGTTCTGAAGGAACTCATATTTGTACTCTGATGTATTCTGGTCGTTTACTAGGGTACCTAATATCACTTCATTTAGGATAGGAATGAATCTCTCACTTGTAAGGTTATCTAGCTCTCTGAAGTTATTTTAAGACAAAAATTGATAAGATTTCATCACAGTCTAAAATGATGAATCCCTTTAGAGCAGAGCTAAGGTCTCGCAGGTATGTATCTCCTTGTATGGCAGACTCTATCAGAGGCTTGGCACTCTGAATGAATCTCTTGATATCATCCTGCTGAAGGAATAAGTACTTGAATCTAAAGTCAGGGTCTTCATCTAGCTTAGTCTTCTCTGCTCTAACTCTATGACAGAGACTTTTAGAGAGGCTCTTCAAGAACACCACAAGCTTTCCCTTATTCTTGAACTTATTGTTTGGATGCAAGTAGTCACTATACATTTTGGAGATGTAGTCGATACTGGTCTCTTGAGTAATCTCTTTTTGGTCTTCAGTCTGAAGATGCTCTGATGATTTGAAAGTGTTGACGTAAAAGTTCGCAAAATATCTTTCACAATTATTTATTTCTGTAACCTCCGGTGTTCTGATTACCGATCTCGATATTGAACTGATACGTAACGAAATTTATGTAAGGAGTGTAATCTAACCGGGGGAAATTTTGGGTGACCTGTGCAAGAATTCTGATGAAAATGCTTCTAAAGTACGAGCTGAGTGGCATGCTTTTCCATAAATCCATTATTTCAGGGAACCATTCCATTATTTCATCCTCTTCAGTATTAAATCTCTTAGTAGGCACTAGAAGAGAGAACAAGAGAAAGTTTGAAGTGAACTTTGGACTTTCTTGGAACAAAAAAGGCTTGACTTCTTTATAAATCTCCTCAGCAGATCCTTGTTTGAAGAACTTGTTCATTTTTAGATAGACCTTCTCAACTAAATCATAGAACGGAAGTTTCTGGCTCAGAGAATACATCTCCATTTTTACTTCAGGGTTTTCAAAAATGGCATACAGTAAGTTAAAACAAGGTCTCCAGTCAAGGATCAAATCCAGTTTATTGTAATTGAATTTGATAAAATTCTCAAGAGAGATGAACAGTTTAGCAATGTTCTTGGTTTCTACCTTTTCTTTCCTAAAGATTTCATCATAGATCATTTCAATGATCATACTTTGATCTTCTATAGTCATATGGCCTGACTTCTTGAGGAACTGAGAGTTTGCCTCAAGCATCTCAATGAATTCCTTAGTATTGCCTGCTAAGTGCAATATAGTCAAGCTCTTTATGATATCAGATGAATCCTTCTTCTCTTCTTCCGGCTTATAGAGGACGCCTTCATACATTGCCTTTCCGTGCTTCTCATTGTAGCTCTTGAACGGCTCTGGAAGGTGAGTAAATGCTAAGTTTATATTATTTTCCATCAGGGATAACTTCTCTTAGTAAATATTTTTATATTCTATAAAATTAATTTGGCCTTTAAGTTGATTAAATTTCAACCAAATTCTTAAGGAAAGGGGTTTTGGGGTTTTGGGGTTTTGGGG